AGGATATTGATCCATAATGACAACAATCATGAGTTGCAGTCACATATAAAATAATAACATATAAACTTTGACTTTATTAATTAAACTCTTAATTATTAATTAGGTAGCCTCATTATACTCACATACTGTTACTGAAGTTGTTCACTGCAGGACTTTATGTGTAATGGAATACTGAATACAACATACAGCCTGTCATGTGACCTCTGATGTGGTCATATGACCTGAGAGACTGTCAGCAGTGTGTGTGTGAATGTGAGTGTATGTGTGTGTGTGTGTGTGTGTGTGTTTGTTTCTCAGCCGTCAATCATCAGCCCTCATTAAGCTCAAATTACTAAAAAGCTTTTCTTAACAAAGCATTAATGAATGAAAGGAGCTGCTAATCTGACTGCAGCAGCTGCCACACACACACACACACACACACACACACACACAGACACACACACACACACACACACAAACTTCCTGCCTTTGTGTGTGAGCTGTTCTGCTGCTTCTTGAGTTAACATGAACCTGGGAGCTGATCTGCCATATAACATCAGGACTGGTGATAATAGGTTCAGATCCCACAGAAATAAATATAATATAAAATGACAACATCTGAAAATTATATATAAAACCTATCATAGATATTTTCAATATATGCACATTCTACTTTAAGAATTTCATATAGGCCTAACATGTTATAAACTTATATCTTCATACATACGTATAATATGTGATAATAGTATATCCTCTTATAGGTGACATATATGGCAACATCACTCTTCATCACTTGATATAGAGACATATATGTCATTTGTTACATTTCTGTGTGGGCTGGAGGAAAAACTATATAAAAATCATTTGTATATTCAAAATATTTACCATTGGCACAGTGACACAATGATAGGTCAGACGCCTGTATTTTCCTGCCTCTATATGCTGTCTCACATTTCACTGGCACAGCGGTAATATTCATAGCAGCACTTTATAATCCTGTGATTTACACAGTAATTTCATTGTGTGAATCAGGTCCTAATAAATTACTGTTGTAATGTAACTTAGGTTCAGTGGAACCAGAGAGTTAGAGGTTGGGTATCTGAGAGGAAAAGAGAAATAAATAATACTAATATTATAACTGTTTCTACTATTTCGACTACAACAGCAGGGCCAGCCCTATAATCTCGAATGTTGTTGACTGACTGACTGACTGACTGACTGACTGACTGACTGACTGATGATATTTCCACCACTGGTCAGGGGAGTGCCCAGCCGCAGTCTACTGAACCTCTCTGGTTTTCCGGCTGCTCAGGAACTGCAGGGAAGAGGAGGAGCACTTCCAATACACTGAGCCTCACCTCCAGTACAGCAAATAAACTACTTTGATTACATGTATCATTATTACTGAAGGAGGCAGAGGAATAACTAAACATAAGACACACCGAGCAAAGAGAGCAGGAGAGAGGGAGAAGTCATTGGTAACGAGGCTTCGTACTAACGACTATGACCAACTCTATATATCAAACAGAGGGAGTTAGATGTAAAGACCTGCCTCTAATAAAAGTCTGTTATGTTCTGGAGTTTAAGTAAATAAAGACTAAACTATTGTGGATCCAGACAGAGGCTGTTTTCTGTGTCAGAGACTGAATAAGAAAGATGTCTCTGGCCCAGGTGGTTCACCTGGTGGAGCACCAACTTCTCTTGCTATGGCCCATAGCCCTTTGCTGTATGTCATCCTCTCTCTCTCTTTCTCTGTCTCTCTCTCTTTCTCTCGCTCTCTCACAATCACTGTCATAAAGAAAAGCCTGGAAAAATTGCTTAAAAAAGAAAGATATTGTGTCTCTTCTAGCTTTCTCTCTGAGTGATCATGTTACAGTAAATCCAGCTGAAATCACAGCTCAGTCTTTGTCTTTCATTTATGTGTTTGATGATTTTGTCAGAAGACATCAAAGTTATAAAATCAGGATTTGACCATAGGCCCAGACATGGACTAAGTTTAGACCTAGTCTTGTTTCTCCTCAGAAAACAATAGAAACCTTCCACAGCTGTGCATTTAACATTTCTTTACTGATCTTTATTTCAAATAATACAATATAGTAGACATAAACGTGTTTATTGATGTTTACACTTCCATCAGCTCAGTTGATCAGTCATTAAACATATTTTGATTGAAAAGGACACAGCCATTGTTCCTTGTTCTGACCTCCTTCGAGATTTTAGAACATCTGGGAAGATGGTGGACCTGGCTCTGTGTCTGGGTTACAAGCCGGAGGACGGAGCAGTGAAGACGGGAGGAAGACCTGTAAGTTCCCTGAACCTGGACCAGGAGCTGTGAGGGTCTAAACACAGTCACACAGTGACACTGTTTAATGAGGATACATTCAGTTGGTCACACTCATGGATGTATTATAAGACCTTGATCCCGGATCTAAAAATGGTGCCTGTTCAATTCTATAGGAATTGCTTGCCTGTCGCATACACCGAAAAAGTTTCTGGCTTGCACTGATTATGTGCAGTATCGTCATCCCATCATGCCTCTGGGCTATGAGAACGAGCAAACAGCGTTCTGGATCGGTGCTGTGTGTTCATAGATGCTATGCTAGTGGACTTCATGGAGGAGTAATACGATTTCTACAGGACTTGAAACCATGGATTAAAACAAATGGTAACAGCAACAAACAAGATGATAAAGTACTGAAAAGTAAGGTGCTGTTAAACCTACGATCGTTGATGTTGTGGATAATTTGTGTTGACAGTTGACAGTTGACAGTGATGTTAAATATTTAGTTTGAACTATCTTTAGTGCATTTTTAATAAGAAATTGATGCTGCATGTGACAGATATGTGACAAGTTGTCAGATAAAATTATCATGAGGGCTTTACTTTCTTACCTTTTTATATTGAAGCGTATTCATACGGCACGTCTTCTTTGTATTCTTGTACTACTTATTTATAGCATATCATAACTCCCCTACTGTTGTGTCACCAAGCGCAGCTCCTGTCTGTTGTGTAGTGGAATGTTTGAGCAATGAACAACCGAGTGTCTTTCAAACTGAACATTTTACTTGCTAGTATGCTGCAGTTTACAAAGAACGACGTAAACTACACAGGCTCGTGCACCAGATGTCTCGACTTCATAACTTCACTAAGCTAGCGACAAAACCTCGACAGGTGTGATGGAAATCTGAAAATGAACAGTTGACAAAATGATCAAGTTCCCTTCATATATTTTAATAAGAGCTTTGAGAAGGTTCAGTGTACAGTCACACAGAGTGCAAATACAGACTGACTGACTGAAAAAAAAGAAAGAAGTTAAGCAGGGTCAGGATCTGTGTGTGTGAACAATCCTGACTGTCTAACTGCTGGAAGAAGCAGGTGTGTGTTCAAGGATAAACTACTCCCTAGTTTGTAGCGGACAGTACCAGATCATACATGTGGGAACAGATTCACATTCATGGATCAAACCAGGTTATACAAAGTGCAGAATATGATTTTTCTATTACACAGGTTACTTCCTTACACTTAAAAATAAAAGTACTTCCTCTCAACACTGTTCATTGTAATACTAAATCATTACCATTAGCTGCGTATACATTTATTACATAGACTGATTCAAACAACAAACATGAACCATATTATTTAGCATCTTTGAACCAAACAATTCACAACACTGCTGCATAGCAACCTTGACAAAAACTTGAGGTTTTAAGTCTCTTGGTTTTAACAGTTGTACCATTAGCTGTAGAACTGAGCTGAAAGCCATTACTTACATTTAACAATTGTATCTTCAGGCTCTCTGTCGGTGTTGTTTGCTGACATTATTTTCATTACCGGAGCACAATGAATCTTGGGATAGATTGGACCATGAAGGATCCACCTGTTGGAGACTTCGTTGTCCAGGAAAAGAAGGACACATTTGAAGGAGCCTTTCAAATGGAACAGCCTAGTCACGCTGCTGTGACTCAGTCGGTCTTCAAATGTAGCCTCTGAAGGATGTGGTCCCTGAACTGAGACACAGCTGATGGTAGGTTACAGTGATGTGTCAGTGATTGAGAAGGTAGAAGAAGTGAATGTGAACTAGTTCATCTGAATCTGTGTGAATTACCTGGATGGACATCAGTAAAAATACAGACAAAGGTTCATATGTTGTTTTTAGTAAACTCTTGTTGACCTGAATGAAAAACTTCCTTAAAGATCATCTTCAGTTTCTCTACAGTTTGCTCAGATTTGGGTAAAACTTTATTTTCTTATTATGAAGCTGAGTTTAGAAAAAAACTGCCTTCACATCAAACATTCAAACATCACATTCACAAGATGTTGAAATAGTTAAGCTTTATCTCTCATGTCCTGTTTGTTGTGTTGTATAAATTAATGTGTTTATGTGACTGTGTGACACTTCATCATCATCATCTTCATCATGGATCTTCAGACACTTCTGGCTACATATAGGTTGAAAAAAGGTTTGGCAATATATATATACCTTTACTTTGAAATATGTCTGTATGTGCTTCCTGTCTCCTCAGTCTGTCGCTGTGCTGCTGTGATGTGAGTTTCTCCTCTGGGGATCAATAACCTCATATCTTATTATCTGATCAGTGAGAAAGAACTGATTAAAACAAAGCCTTTCTCCTCTTGTTGCCATGGCGTCTCCTCTGTTTATTATTAACCCGTCATTAACTGTTATCTCATCGGTGAATCTCCCCCTCAGCTCACACTTTAATCAGCTCCAATAAAAACCTGCAGATCTTCATCCTGATGAAGACTTTTATTTCCTCTCCTCCTCCTCCTCCTCCATCAGCAGACAGCAGCAGCCGTTTGTCTCAAACAGATTTTATTCAAACCAACAATTAAAAATAGTTTCATCAAGTTTACATTCAGAAAGAATCAGTTCAGAAAATCTAACAATTCATCCAAACTAATCAGTGACAGTCTGATCCACACAGTGTCTGTACAGTGTCTGGAGGAGGAGGGGTGGTGGAGTTGAGAGAGGATGAGGATGATGGAGGATGAAGAGGGGGCTCTCAGCAGGAGGTGAAGGTCTTCCAGAAGAAGTTCTTGCAGCCAGCTTTCCTCTCTCGGGGAGCCAGCAGCGGCCCAGTGCCGACGGCGGCTCGTTCAAGATCAACATGAATGTCTTCAGGTTCTCCTTCAGCCAGAGGGAAGTTCTCCTCCTCCAGAGCCTCGTTCTCCACCTGCAGGAGGTCCGACAGGAGCAGCTCCGCCAGGGAGGAGCGGGACAGGTCCTGAACACACAACAAGAAATATTACAGATAAAGACCAGAACCAGGGAGGAGCAGGACAAGTCCTGAAAGATCAAACCACACCACATTAAAACCAGGAATGTTTCACATCCTGGAAGAAGTTGAAGAAGACAGTTTAATGATGAAGGACACAAAGACTGAAATCTTTTAGACATTTGGACTCTGCAGATTTATTCTGTTTTCTGATAAACTGATAAACTGATAAAATGATGACACATGATGTCATGTCCATTAAAAAAATAAACCTCTTATCTTAGAACCTTTAACATGAAGGATGAAAGTAAGATCCTGCTTTAACTCAAGGTCCACTTAAAGTGAGAAAGAGAACTTTGTCACCGATAGTACAGTTGAGAAAAAAAAGCGAGAACACTGATGTTAGGCGGTTCTGCAAATATTCAGTCAATATTCATGCTGTTCATGCTATATTCAGACTGTTGCAAACGGGATGCGACAAGTGGTCTACTGTATTGACCTTAACAAATAATAATTGTAGGAGCAGACTGATGATATTCTGTTTGGTCTAATTCTGTAACGTCAAACTTCTTCTGTTGTTGGTGATGATTGACATCGGGGCACTGTCAGGAACACCTACAGATACACAAACAACTGACAATGTGTGTTTGTTTTTATAAATGCAAACAACTCAGACTCATCTAATACATAAACATCCAACCTCTCATCTGAATAGACTTCAGTTACAGACCAGGACTGGACCAGAGATTGGACTGGACCGGAGACAGAGCTAAATACATTTTAAGGATTTTTGTTGAACTGGACACTCCTGATCCTGATCCTGATCATCAACTATAGAAAAGCAGAGATTCCACTGAACTCTTCTTCTGCTGGTCATTGCAGGCTGATGATGATGATGAAGCAGAAACTCCTCTCCTGGAGTGAACTCACCAAAATAGAAGCTGAGTGCTCTCAGCACCTGATCGATGCCTCTGTTCAGTTGTGAGGTTTTTCTGCTGCATGAAGACTGAGATCACATCAGTCAATTCTGAACACCAACCAGCTGGTTTTAGTTTCACTTAAACCAGATCAGTTAAACCAGCTGATGTTGGTCTCTGCCTGTCTCAGACTGGTGGAGGTGAGAGACTGTGACCACAGCTTGGACCACATGAACATGAGGATAAATGTCTCTGAGGTACATCAGGATCAGGTCTATAAGTCTCCTATCAACGGGACATATTCAGGTTTGGTCTGAGCATCACAATGAGGTTCTCTGCAGCAAACATTTATATTTCAGTATAAGAGCCTGTTCTTGTTTTCCCATCTGACTGAGCTGTAAAACTTCAATTTTATTCTAATGAGCAGAAACATTTTACATTTTACATGAGATTAGAATATTTGAGACTGTTACTGAAAGAGATTTCTCTGTGAAAGAAAAGAGCAGGTTTCTGCTGCAGAGGAAGAAGAAGAAAAAGAGAGGAAGGTGAAATGAGATTTTGGGAAATGTTTGAAACAAGAGCTGAAATATATGAAATTATGAAATATTATCACACGAGTTGATCAATAGGAAATTAATCTTGGATGATTTTAATAGCTGATCAAACTTTTTAGTAATTTTTTAAGAAAAACACCAAACAAACATGTCAGTGTTCAACTTTCTGTTTTCCATTTCAGGCTCACAAAAGTTCTGTGACATTTTACAGACTGAACAATTAATCAATCAGCAGATTACTCAATACATTTTCTTTTTTTAAGAGGAGATTGACAACCAAACAAATGAAAACCTCGTTCTATACGAGGTCTTTTATTCCGGTCTGAATGTCTGAACTGGTTCTGTTCAGTTAAAACAATTCAAAGGAAATAATTAACACTCAGTGAGCGGACAACAGAGACCTGATGTTTGGATTCAGTTATCATTGATTGATTATTGTTGTTTGATTAATTATTCAAGAAGGAATAATAAAGATAAATCATTTTAAATAATCTGAAAATAAATTACACTGAAATATAAACCTATCTCACTGTGAGGACAGACAGACAGAAACACTCTCTGTCCTCCTGTCAGTCTGATCCCTCTAATTACAGTTTCCAAACATCTGAAATGATTCAAATCTGATCTTCAGAAAGAGAGAAAGTTTATTTATTGATGAATAAATCTGTTCAACATTCAAATATGTTAAAGAGTCACAAATATTAGAATTTAAAATGTAAATTATAATGAAGATCAGCCAACATTTTACTTCATGGTTTAGTTTTTACAACTTTCACTGCAGGAATGTCCCTCTGACGCCTGTCTCTGTCAGTGTCTGTCTCTGTGTGTCTCTTTGTCCCTGTGTCTGTCCTTGTGAGTGTGTGTGAGTGTGTGAGTGTCGGACCTGTTTGGAGCCCAGCAGCGGGGTCCGGTGCAGCAGCAGGCGGAGTTTTGAGTCTCTCTGGACGGCGGAGGAGCAGCTGATGGAGGCAGTGAGGGAGAGGAGGAGCAGGAGAAGGCAGCGGAGGCGCGAGGAGGAGACCATCTTCATCACCTGTCTGTGTGACTATCTGCGGGTCGACGGATCTTCTGGGTCTGCCCCGTCACAGCGGCTCTTATAAAGCCCCGCTTACGTCATTGATCACCGTGTATGGATGCGGGGGAGGGGGGGGGGGGATGTCATCATTGACTGATGATGATGATGATGATGATGATGATGTTTCCACTGCCTTTAGTGAAATGATCCGTTTTCAAACACTTGATCATTCCTTCCTGCTGCTCAGTTGACACACAGTTTCTCAGCTGGAGGCTCGCGGACCCCAGCTGGCACTTGTCATTCTTCTCCCTCTATATCAGGTATTGATACATTTTTTTGATATTTGTATTGGAACATGCTGGCAGTGTTTTTATGATGTGTGAAGTCTGAACAGAAGCTGTTCAACAGTAAATCAGAGTCAGTCAACAAAGTTTCACCAAATTAAAACCAACATCAACACAATATGTGTTCGTTTTGTCTCTTTGTGGTTGTTCTGTGTCTCTTTGTGGTTGTTCTGTGTCTCTCTCTGAGTCAAACTGTGTTGTTTTTGTCGGTTGTTTCGTGTCTCAGTCAGTGACTTCGCTGCTGGTCACATCAAGGCGACCTCGTCCTGCTGGTCTGTCACCGAACAACACAAACACGCACACAGATATTTTGCTCCTTCACACAGTCGCCTCTACAGCTGCTCACTGTTTTTCTTCCCTGTATTAAACAACCTGAACAGAGCAGTGAAACCTGCCTCAGGTTTAGCTTGTGTGTGTGATGGCGTTCAGCTCTCTGATGACATCACCAATCTGAAAGTTGACTCACAGCTGCTGACACACAGAAACTGCGTGAAACACAACTAACACAACACAACTCTGACTGCTGGTCTCTCAGTTTGTGTTTTGTTGGGCCAAACAGCCCAGAGTTACTCCCTGGATCTCTGCAGGTCTCAGCAGAAACTCTAAACCTGTCACTCAAGTTAAACCTTTGTCTACTCCTGGGGACACATCTTCCTCTGAATTCAGCCTCACCCTGGAAAGAGTCCCTTCTGTTCACGCCCACAGGAGCTCACCATAAACACTCTTGTAATGGCTGAGTCTGTGGTGATATCACAGACTGTCCCTGTGGCTCAGGGGTTAAAATGTGGACCACGAGAGTCCTCAGTTCAAGTCTGACTGGAGACCCACTTTCTGTTATCTCCCTCTTATCAATATGTAATAAAGGCATAAAACGACCAATGAAGATTATTTAAAAAATGTTCTCTCTTTAATTTTCTCAGACAACAACAGGAAGAGTTACTCAAGTCTGGTCCTAGCCATTCAAGTCTCAATCTGGGTTTAAGTTAATTTAACTTATGTTTGATTTTAGTCAGTCCAGTTTGGATTTTTGGTAGTAGTCCATAGTTTGGTTCTAGTCAGTAGAGTCTGGTTCTGGTCAGTTTGATTCTACTTAGTAAAGTTCTTGTCAGAAATGATTTATTCTAGTTAGAAGACTCTGGGTTTTGTCATTTGAATTTGATTTTAGTCAACTGAGTTCTAGTCAGAAGAGTCTGGTTCTAGTCATTTGCATCCGGTTCTAGTCAGTGGAATTTGGTTTTAGTCGTTGAAGTCTGGCTCTAGTCAGTAGAGTCTGGTTCTAGTCAGTAGAGTCTAGTTCTGCTCAGTAGAATTTGGTTCTAGTCAGTATAGTTTGGTTCTGGTCTGTAGAGTCTGCTTCTGATCCATAGAGTCTGGTTCTGGTTCTGGTCAGAGTCATAGATCTTTAACTTTAGGTGAAATAAATTGGTCATCTGAAGACTAGAATAAAAACTTCTTTTAAACTGTGACCTGTGTGTTTGAGGTTTATTCTTCAGAGTGTGGAACCCTGTGGAACATTGTGTGTTCTAGAGAGAACGTTCCACAGCCTCTGTGTTTTAACTCAGCTCCCTGTAGAGTCCTGATCTGCAGTGATGCTGTAGCCTCTGTGGGAGTCTCAGTAATGAAGCCTTACTCTCAGCAGTCACACTGTTTGTACAGTCTCCCACTGTTACACTGCGAACACTAATCACACCTCTGCTCCAAGCACAACAACACACAATTACAACATACATCTCTTTAATGTGTTCTGCTTTTTACTACAAACTCCTGCACACATGAACGCATCGCTGTCTCTACCACACTCTGAGACGCTGCAGGACGTCTTCTCTGTGCTCTCATTAACCAATCCCACAGCTCCTCTGAGGATGATGGCAGAGGTCAAAGAGAAGCTCTGCAATTGGCTGACTGGTTTACCATCATACTAAGCACACAAGTCACAGGCTGTGGTGTCTGGTCGTCTCCCAGGTGACTCATCAGGTGAATCACCTGGAGTCTGATTGTCGTCTCAAACCTCCTCTAACTCCACCAGCACATCTCTGCCAGTCATCTTCATCAGGGGTTAATATTCAAAGATTCTTTTTAGTACTTTGTTTAATTGCAAAGCACTCTTGGAGGGCAGTTCACTGGAGAGCTCCACCACGAACAGCTCAGGTGAACTGTCAGTCAAGTGGCAGGTAAAGATGTGGATCTCATCATGCTTGACAGACAGACAGACAGAGATCAAGAGAGTCCCTGTCTGTTCTGGTTTATTGGCATTATTCTAAGATATTTGCAAAATCCATTATATCAGACTTTCTGCCTGGCAAGGTCCAGATGAAGTCCTGTAGGGTCCCATTTCCACATTGTGTAATAACATACAAGACTTCTCCATCATCATCCGTCCCATCAGGAGGTGTCTGATTGGTGTAGATTCATTCAGGACAAACACACAGAGTCATAAACAACTATCTTTGGAGACCAAAAGAACCAGGAGTCCTGCAGCAGATGGACTGGCCCCCACAGAGTCCTGATCTCAGCATCATGGAGTCAGTCTCAGATAAGAACCTTCACTTTCCTGTTACACAGGAGTGTTTGTGCAGATTCAGACTGGACAAGACACTAAATAAAGTTTAGTCCAGACTGAGGTCAGTGTGGATGTCTGTGTGTGTTGTTGTTGACACTGTTCTGCTACAATGTGCTGCACAAAGGAAAGAGAGACTCTGCTCACATTTGTAAACATGAACATGTGGTGGTGAAACAGCTGCAGAGAGTATTAAACAAAGTATTAAAGTTTTTTTTCCTCAAGAGGTAAAAACATCATGGAAACAGAAATCATCAACATCAACAAAAGAACATGACAGACATGTTAAGACGTTCAGGGACGTGGATGAGGGATAAAATCCTAGCATAACTCCACTTCCTGACCCAAAAACGACACCCATCATTACCACCTGTCTCCCCGTATCCTAGCAACCGGAGAGCTCTGTCTCCAACTGCAGTGCCCATCAAGACTCTGTGGTCCTTCATGTGGTCCATGTGGCTGCAGGACTTCAGCTGTCAGGTAGTTAACAGCAGACGGCAGGATACATTTCACACCTGTCCGACTGTGTTACCACGGAAACTACTCTGTGACTGGTGGTGATTACAGCAGCTCTCTGTTTCTGACAGCTGATTGGTTCAGCCTGTTGAGCAGTGTTAGAGGATGACAGACAGACAGACAGACAGACAGACAGACAGACAGACAGACAGACAGACAGACAGACAGACAGACAGACGACAGAGAGAGAGAGAGAGACAGATGGACAGAGACTTCAGTTATGATGCTGAACACAGAATCAATTAAACTTTAAACACATTAGAAATGATGTCCATTTACAATTTACATGATCCGTCCCTCATGGAATTAATCAGACACATACACACACACACACACTCTGAATCAGGTGAACTGTTCTGAAACTAGACTTTTAAATTTGGGTTCAAACAACCAAACTGAACAGACTGAGGATCAGACTGAATCTAGAGTCTGATCTTCAGATTGCGATCCAACATGTCTCTGAGTCTCTCCCACTGGGATCTCTTTCTTTATTCTGAACTTTCACTTAAAGTCAAAATATCTCAGAAAGGCACAAACCAACATTTACTCAGTACTTTCACCTGTATCTGTTGAAATCCTTAAAACTTTGTCCATCATCATAATAAATGTAAATTTTTCCAGACCTCCTGAACCTCCTCAAAGCTGCTCAGAGAACTAATCTTAAACGAGTCTCAGTTGTCTTTCTACCAGCCTGAATGACCTTCTTCTTACCTCCAGGCCTTGTATTACAGTAATAAAGCCTTCAGGACCCACCAGAGGTCACAACCGTCCTCCTGTCCTCCTCACTCACCTGATGCTCCACCTCTACACCTCATTCTCCTCACCTCATACACCTTCAGAGTAACTGCAGTCAGGGTGATGTGCTCATTCTGCTGTCACCTATGTTCACACCTGCTGTCAGTTTATCACCTGTCTCCCTGCATCAACTGACTCGACAGATTAATCACATCAGACGTATTGATTTCAGTCAGGCGTCTCAGTAGGAGCAGAACGCCAGCCTGTCCAGAGAAACCTTTATCTACCTGTGACACAAAATTTAGAGGGTGTGTATCACTAAAGAGGAGAGAGGCCGTTGCACTGTGGAATACAGAAGTGTTGTTTTTTCTGAGTAACCATGACAACTATGTGATGGAGTTCACTGCTGCTGCAGAGACATTGTTGGTACCGGAACAGATTAGTTTAATTTCTCGGATCAGGAGATTGAAGAGGTGGCTGCCTACACTGAGAGCAGGTGGGGGCTCCTGTTGTGTGTTGGTGCTGTTGATGGAGCACATACTCATCTTAGCACCACAGGAGAAACACTGTTACTGTTTCTGCCATGAAAGCTCCATCATCCTTCAAGGTGTAGAGCATGCACTTCTATGATGCTCTGGTTTAGAGGGCCTGTCCACACTATCACACCTGAACATTCAGGTGAACATTCATATCACATGACCATTCACCTACACTGGGAATGTTGCGTGCCAGTGTAAACGGGAAGCAGATAACAGTCAAGACAGTTGTAGCATTAAAATGGAGAATTTACCTGAACAACAGCTGCTAGCAAAGACAACAAGGTCAGGAACACTGTAATTCATTATCATGTTGTATTCACCACT